CCCCCCCCCCTCTCCTTCTTGTATCTCATGATGCTTGACTTTTCTTTAAATGACACCAAAAAGTTGATACATGGTACTGTCACTCCTTATTGTGATTTGTATCCAGCAGAACCTACAGTGTATTTTTAAGTGTCATGAACATTACTCTGGAAATGTTTCAGTGAATCATGTAAGAGTTCTTTAGCTATTTAACTCCTGGATTGCCTTGTTCTCTTGAACATAACTTGATAGGTATGTTTTGATCTGTCTTGTTTTCAGGCTGCAAAGGAGAGACAGAAGATCAGAGCAGAAGAGATTCAGATTGATGTCGTGGAAAGGAAGAAGCAGATTGAAGTGGAAGAGAAGGAGGTGGCCAGAAAAGACAAGGAGCTGGTTGCTACTGTCAAGCGACCTGCTGAGGCTGAGAGCTACAAGGTGGAAACCATAGCTCAGGGCAGAAGGTGTGTACTTGTAAATATTCCATGTATCTGCAAACTTTCTTGTGTGGTGTGCAAGGCTCATGTCTTGATGTCTCGTACACGCCAACCATTTTCCACAGCTGACTCACATAGCTGAACTAGGACTGTCAAGAAATATGTAAGCTCTGTCTAGTTTGAGAAATAAAAGTCCCATGTAAATCATGCCTCTTATAAGTTGTAAATTGAGAAAGGTGCTAAGTTGCCACAAGCATGAGAAAAAGAAATAAGCACGAGTCCTTGACAATAGTGAAACTCATGTAACCTTATGCACAGTGGTTGCATGTTCTAGCCCCTGAGCTCATAATGAGCTTCACATAGATCAGTTACTTGTAATATAACTGACTTGAAAAAAGTATCTTAACCATGATCAACTTAGACCCAGCAGAAATTAAATATCACTGACGGTGGCCCTGTAATCTCTCTTGTGTTTAATGTAGGACACAAACTGTGTTTGCAGCTCAGGCAGATGCAGAGAGGATTAAGGTGGCAGAACATTTCAATGTTTGCATTTTGTACTATTCTAAGACAAGACATACTATTATTTTAGTGGCCAGTTGTAATACATTTGTCTTGTCATGTTCTTTAGCAAGACATAAACTCTTGCAACAGTACATCCAATCTCTCCACCCAGCAATGTAGACAGATACCAGTGAATTTATAGAGTTCAAGTCTGTTCTTAGCACTAGCTTCAGTTGTTTTATGGTACACTCAACTTCAACTTCACAGCCATGCTTGTAAATAGCAAACTGGTGGGCCTTTCATCAGCTGAGATGATTAGCCATGTTTAATGCTTGAATGTGTTGGCCCATTACCTCTCATGTTACAGTAACTCACTCAGTGATGGTAAAAGAGCATAGCTCATTTTTCACAGTTCACAACATTTTTTCCTGTAGCAGCTTATTGACTGCTGTAAAATACTGTTCATATTTTTAGATGACAGGCTCTTCAGAGGCTTCTGCCATTGAAGCTGTCGGCAAAGCAGAAGCTGAGGGTATGAGGCAAAAAGCAGCAGCTTACAAAATGTATGGAGATGCGGCCTTAACCTCACTGGTTCTGGAGGCATTACCAAAGGTCAGACAATCTTATTTTCATTTAACACATTGCTAACAGGATGGTAACTATTGTATCAAATATTTTAAATGACCAGACATGTCTGTTCGGTTTCAATGAATGGCTAAATTTTGGTAACTTAAGGTGGCTCCCTATAGTTTTATGATCACACATGCACTGAGGAGGAAAGCTCAAGTAATCTGTGTGCCCTCAAAGGAAAACGTCAGTCTTTTTGGATAAATTATGTTAAGACGTCAACGTGAGCACAAAAACCAAAACTAAGCAGCGGTAAAAGACATAACTTTGCAAAAATTGAAAACACTGCCTTTACAAACCCTACTTTCCTTGTGTTTAAAATTCGTACCCTGTAGGATGCAATGTGTTTTAAAAATCTTGGAAGATTTCACTGAAGGAAATTCAAGAAAATCACAAATAAAGCCATAAAAAAAATTATAAAATACATCTGTTTTGGGCATTTACAATTATTAAAGACCGAAACTCAAAATTTTAATGGAGATGGTAGTAAAACATTGCTTATTACATCTGTAACAAGTCTGAGAGGACTGGGTGTAAAAGCAAATGCAAAAACAGCACTCAAAACATAACACTTGTGCATGCAATGCCATAAATGATTACCCCATGGAG